AGAGGGTCTGCATCGAGAGGGAAACAGATCAGCAGCAAGAGAACTGGTTGGCTATCATAGACTACCACCCTTTTCAACATTAGATCCCTCAATCAGGCACTGAGCCACTTTGAAAGAGGGCCCTCTCCCGTGTTGGCTGCAAACAGACATTCATCAAAGCTCCTTAGACAACACCTTCCAACCCATGACCAATTCCATCCAGAAGGACAAGGGCAGCAGATACATGGGAACACTGCCAGCTACAAGATCACCTCTGAGCCACTCGCCATTCTGATCTGGGAATATATCATCGTATCTTCAGTGTTGATGGGTCAAAGTCTTGGAATTCTTTCTCGCAGGGCATTGTGGGTCTACCTACAGCACATGGACTGTAGCAGTTCAAGAAAGCAGCTCATCATCACCTTCTGAAGGGCACCTAGCGACTGGCAATGAAGACTGAATAAAACTCATTGATCCTGCTTGTCAGTGATGCCCAAACGCCATGATTTAATAAAAATAAAAGCTAACATATCAGGTTTTGACTGCTGCATTCCCTGTTTGATGTGTCATTTGCTCAGCACTGGGTTAGTACTAGCAGCATTGGAAAGATGTTCTTCTAAGAAGGAAAACCAATATAGCTCACAAGTTGTCATCCTGGCCTAACTCATTTTCTACACTGCAAGATGAAGCTTCAGTCCAGGTCATTTACAAGCTTGACTGTTTTTTTGCTGTTTATTCACAATTTCTAAATTAATTGTCCACTTAAGGGCATTAATTAAGGGTCATAGTAGGGAGTCAAAGGTCTTCATGCCCTGGACTTAATCACGCTGGAAGTAGGAAGGTGACAGAACCCTCAATTGTCACATGATAAGACCACAGGACATAAGAGTACAAGTAGGCCATTCAGCCCATCAAGTATGCTCTGCCATTCAATGAGATGATGGCTGATCTAATAATTCTCCATTCCACTCACCTACTTTCTTCCCCATAACCCTTGATTTCCTTACTGATTAAAAATCTGTCTCTCTCTCTCTCTCTCGGCCTTGACTGCCCACTGTGGTAAAGAATTCCACAGATTAACTGGCCTCTAAGAGAAGAAATTCCTCCTCATCTCTGACTTAAATGTGGGATCCCTGGTCTGAAATTATGCTGTCTGGTCTTAGACTCTCCTACAAGTGGAAACGACATTTTAACAGCCACTCTGTCCAGTGCCCTAGAAATCTTTAATATTTCAATTCGGTTGCCTTTCATTCTTCTAAATCCTAAATTCCAAATGAATCAAGCTCTCCTCATCTGACAATCACTCCATAGCTGGGATCAGCCCAGTGAACCTCCTCTTGTCTGTCTCTAATGCCAATATGTCTTTCCTTAGATAAGGGGTTCAAACTGTTCCCAGTATTCCAGCTGTCACCTTCCCATCAAACGAAATGTCCACTAGCACTAGACTTGCCACAGTGCAAGATTCCATCTGGAATTTGACCCCTCCTTTGTCTGACCCTTCAATTCACTGACATCTCCCTCACTGAGCCTCCTTTTCTCTGATACTGTACTCACTAGGACTCTCATTAGATGACTTACCCTATCGCCAAGCCTCCTGCTTACTCAACTTCACACCCGCTCCACTCTCATCCACTCCCCAACTCACCCCTGCATCCTTTCCCACTCACCAACTGTCTCCCGCCCCCTCTCCCAATCGCCAACTGTTCCCCACCTCCCGCATTACCCAACTCTCCACTGCCCCCCTCTCCACTCACCAACTCGCCCTCCATGTCATCTCCCACTCCCCAACTCTCCCCCACCCCCTCTCCCACTTCCCCGCCTCCTCTCCTACTCCCCAACTCCCTCCCCCCAACCCCGCCACCACCTCTCCTTCTTGTAAACCTACTGTTTGCTGCTTTGATCTCCTTGCCATCTCTCCCTCTTTTTCTCATTTTCCCTTCATGATCACCCCTTTGGTTTCCTCTCAAGCTTTTGCTGTGAATGATGACTCAGATGACTGATGGCAAGAGAAAGGCAATGTGTCAGGGAGCAAAAAGGGTCGCCCTTTTAAAATTCGTGGAGGGACTGAGTGAGTGCGAGAGAGGGAGCAGTAGCAAGCAAGACAGACATGTGGCAGTCATTTGGTAAATACCATCAGTTTTTCATATATTCCCCAGTACTGTAGGAAAACTCCACAACTAAACAGCATTGCATGTGAAACCCTATATTTAAACCATAAAACCCAATCAATAATTATACTTTTTATTTTAGCACAATTCCGTACTTTCCCTCCAATTGAGGAGCTGTGTAAGACAGATGTGGCTCTTTAAAAGCCGTTAGGAGGAAGAGGAATGAGGAGACCAGCCCGATAATTGGAATGAGATGGAGTCAATGATGATGGCATCTTTTAATTTTGACGCAGTGAGGATTCAGTGAGTAGGAATCATTTTTCTTCCAAAAACTCACAATAAGTCTCACTCATCCAGTAATTCACTTTCTTTGACTTACAATGGTTCCCCGGTCTGGCAACATCTCCATTTCAAAAAAAATCTTTGTTCACACACCTTTCCTTGGCCTCATTTATCGAGTCATACAGCATGGAAACAGACCCTTCGGTCCAACCAGTCCATGCCGAACATAATCACAAACGAAATTAGTCCCACCTGCTTGCACCTGGCCCATATCCCACCAAATCTTTCATATTTGTGTATTTGTATAAATGTCTCTTAAATGTCGTAACTGTGCCCACATCCTCCACTTCCTCAGGAAGTTCATTCCACACATGAACCACCCTCTGTGTCTCCACCTACCTTGCATTCATCCAAGATATCTACATTTCTTCATGACCATCTGGTTAGTTCCTGATTTTAATTACCCAACACTGCCTTTGACTGAGTATAATCTAAGCTCTGGAAGGTTGTTTTAACATCTTTGCTTCTTGACCTAGTTGTCCTCATCCTTAGAGCCTCCATCCTGTCTCCTGTAGTAATAACCCCCTACTTTGTCCCCTGTCCAACTTTGTTAGGTTATGAAAACAGAAGTTGCTGGAAAAGCTCAGCAGGCCTGGCAGCACCTGTGAAGGAAAGATGAGAGTTAACATTTCGGGTCTGGTGACCCTTCCTCAGGAAAGTTCTGAGGAAGGGTCACTGGATCTGAAGCATTAAGTCTGATTTTTTCTTCACAGATGCTGCCAGACCTGCTGAGCTTTTCCAGCAACTTCTGTTTTTTTGTTCCTGATTTACAGCATCCGCAGTTCTTTTGGTTTTTAAGTTATGTCCCTGTGAGGTATCTTAGGATGCTTTACGATGTAAAACCCTAATTTGTTTTTGAGAGAAAAGGAGAGGGGGGATGAATGATTGCTGTGTCACAGGACAAAAACAAAAGAAAAAATTACCACAAAGCATGTGTTTGAGGGACCCTATAGGCTGGGAAAGATAGAAGGAAAGAATACTTATCAGAGAACAAGTTTGGTTTTACCAAGGATAATTCTAGTACAGAAAAGACCTTCATTCTTTAAGAGATAACAAGGTGTAGAGCTGGATGAACACAGCAGGTCAAGCAGCATCAGAGGAGCAGGAAAGCTGACGTTTTCTAAAGAAATGGAAAAGCTGGCACCAACCCTTCCTAGTAGAAAAAAATGGAGACATAATCTGCAATATTTATAAAAATATATTTCACAAAGTAGGAAACAATACAGGGGTTCCTCTGATGTACAATACATGGAGTAAAATAATTCAAACGTACAAGTAAATAGCATTAAAGCAACGTATAAAATTAATAAGGGCTCTTCTTGTGTGCGTCAGACTATTGTAATATACAATATCTACTCTGAAATGTAATATTTCGGATTAAAAATTGGCAATGCACATAGCTTTCAGTGCTGTTATCATCAAATTTGTGTGCAAGAGCTATCGTGCATAGCCAAAGTACATTTTTCCAAAAAGAAAATGCCACAAAAGTAAACAGTAAATCTATATATACATAACAAAAAAGCATTTTTTTAAAACCATTTTCATTTTTTTTTCAAATTACACAGTGAAGCACAATAAGCACATGTTTAACACCGCTACTGTACTGTGTAATGAGCGTGTATCTAAAGGTTTAAGATTCCAATATTCACATGATCTCAGTCCCATTCCAGCTCTTGTTCTTGGCTCATTGATGATGAGGCAGGAGACCTGTGCATGCAAGTGCTGCACTCAACCTAAAATGACCCATTGCCATACGTTTCAAACTGCCTACTCTTCTGGCAAGTTCCTGTCAAGAGTGGCTCAGGTATTTTGTTAGCATTTAAGATATATTTTAAAGACCCAGGGAAGATTTGATTGTGTTTGCTGTGTTTGTATTGGATCCTTGAGGCCTGTACCTGAGTTGATATTCTATTTCTGTCATCCTTACTTGCCGCCTACTTTTAGACACATTTCTTTAGACTGGAATGGACATGGAGCATGAGCATATTATGAAGCCTAAGGGCACTCTATTTTCGAGTACACGGTGTCTACTTGTGTGACCACCAATCACAAAGAAACACTCGATTACACCTCAGCTAATATTACTGCAGGGGGAAGGAGCTGGTATTGGTTTTCAAAGCTTTATGATGTCCTGTCACAGCTATCCCCTTCATTTCCTTTGGCTACTTTCATCAGTTCCATGATAAAGACATTGATATTGCTTCACTTTGGCTCAGTAAGATGTTGGTCTGCAATCAGAGAAAAGCCAAAGTCTACGGAACCACATAGGAAGCACTGTAAGATCCCAGCAAGTGTCCTCCACTTGAATGTTAAGTCTATACAAGAACCAGGAAACAAAAACCTGCCTAAACAATCCACATAATCCACACCCCACAAGAGTAAAACACTCATACAATCTGCATTTTTTTTAAGTTCAATATTACAATAAGCTGGACTTCAAGGATGAAAGGAGCTAATGTTGACTGCATCTAAAAATACTGGCCAGCTTATCCATTGTTAATAATTGGCAACCCTATAATTATACACCACTGTTCTTTAATATGTTGGACAACTGGTAATTCCAATTTGGAGTCAAGTTTCTCTGTCAGTTTCCCCAACTGCGTACATATCCCCGAGTTTTTTAAAACGTGGGCCCCATTCCTTGAGGTAGTCAAAGTTCTGCTCTGAATCTGTTGATGTTGTTTCTAGTGAGCTCAGTGAGCCAGCTGTTGATCCTCTTCCTTCATATCCATAGATCTGGATGGAATCATAGGGAGGGGCAGTGGGATCGATGTCGGCATCGTGAAGCCTTACATTAATAAACTCATCCACATCAACTCCATTCAGGACAGGAGGAAGGCTTTGCCTGGGTACATACTGCAGGTCAGGTTTGATATCTTTCCGTGGCAGGAATCCATTGAAACCATCAGGGTTTTGTAAAGTGGCGATATCAAATGCTTCTGTGTCCTCTTCTCCACCGCCTTCATCATCATAGCGAATGATGTTTTCTCTCACATCTTCGTCATCCTTGATAATAAGTGGCTCATTTTTGTGCCTTCTTAAAGTTACAAAGAGTACCACAATAACTGTGAACAAAACACATAATACAGTGATTAATTTTGGAAGTGACACACCAAGCCATTTGCTGGTTTTGTTGTTTCCTTACCCCACACAAACATCATTCTTTGTTTTATCACTCCCGTCCTGAGGATGTTCATGAGAATGTTCTATTTAAGAATGTAGTGGAGGCAAATAGAATAGAGGAGCTTCACAGAATCATACAATTGTCAATCTCTGCACAGACTTGCTGAATGAAAAATTCACAGTGCCATTCTACTCATAACATTTGACATTTTTTCAGAGTACAGTTTAATTCTCATTTCAATGATTCAATTAAACTTGCCTCTATCACAATGTCAGGTAATGCATTCCAAGTCCCAACACTTGCTGGATGAAAACAATTTTCCTCATGTCATTTTTGCTTCTTTCACAGATTACTCTAAATCTACGTCCTCTTATTCTCTATCCTTGCTATGAATAGGAACAGTTTCCCCTTAACCACTTGGTCCATATCCCTCATGATAATAAAAGAACCCTATCATCCCTTCTCTCAGCCTCTGGCTCTTCAAGGACAACAGCCCTAATTTCGACAACCTCTGTTCATAATTGAAGTTCCTCACCCGAAGTCATTCTGTTGACATTTTTTTTTCCAGCACTCTCCTCAATGTCTTCACATCCTTCTCCGAGTGTAATACCCATACTGCATCCATTGCTCCAACCGAAAGAATAATTGGATGGATTTTGAGGAAGTGGGTCAAATGGGACACAAAAGTTTGTGGAACAAGCAGATGGATGAAAGCTTCTCAGGCTATACTGTGATCATTCAAATGTCCATGTTGTGGCACTGCAGATAATGACATTCTTCTTACCACACATTCGCATTCTTCCATTCTCCTATTTGAGGGCCTAGACACTTGAGGTTGGCAGTAAGTTCTAATAAAAGGTTGTTCACCCTAGACATTAACTTTATTTCTCTCCATGGGCACTGCCTGACTAAATATTTCCAGCAGTTTTTGTTAACCGATTTCCAGCATATGCCGAATTTTGCATTTATGTTAAGGTTAGCAGTATGTTTTACCACAGTGGGAGCAGTTTTGGTCCCTCATTTAAGGAAAGATATTATTGCGTGGAGGCAGTTCAGAGAAGGTTCACTAGGATGATCCCTGGTATGGAGGGATTATCTTATGAGCAAAGATTAAACAAGTTGTGACTCTACTCACTAGAGTTCAGAAGAACAAGAGATGATCTCACTGAAACACATATGATTTTTCAGTGGCTTGGCATGGTAAATGCTGAATTTTTCCCCCTATGGGACAGTCTAGGACCAGAGGGCAGACTCTCAGAATAAAGAGTGCCAATTTGAGACTGAGATGAGGAAGAATTTCTTCTCTCAGATGGTTGAGTGTCTTTGGAACTCCTTACCACAGAAAACTGTGAGGCAGAGTCCTAGTGTAAATTTAAGACTAAGATAGACAGATTCTTGACCTGTAGGGGAATTAAGGGTTATGAGGAAAGAGCAGGAAAGTGGACATGAGGAGCGTTGGATACATCGCAACTCGAGCCTATTTGCTCTTTTCCATTATTCAATTGTGCACGCATTCCAACAATCAGGAGCACTCGAATCACAGTCCCAAAATTGGGTAACTCTGCCATGTAACATGTAACCACCAGGTCTAAATGGTCAAATATCAGAATTGCTTATCACACGTACCTACTGAGCAGACAAATCTTTTGGTTGTCAAACTGCAAAACTGTGTTGAACAATATGTTGAAATATTGTTGCTAAACAACCACAGTTGCATTGTTTATATAATCAGAGTCATAGAGTTACAGAGCACAGAAATAGATCCTTCGGTTTAATTAGTCCATGCTGACCAGATATCCTAAATTAATCTAGTCCCATTTGCCAGCATTTGGCCCATATCCCTCTAAACCCTTCCTATTCATATACCTATCCAGATGCCTTTTAAATACGATAATTATACCAGTCCCCACCCCTTCCTCTGGCAGCTCATTCCATACACGTACCACCCTCTGCATGAAAAAGTTGCCCCTTAGGTCCCTTTAATTCTTTTCCCTCTCACCTTAAATCTGTGCTCTCTAATTTTGGACTCCCCCACCCTGGTGAAAACATCTTACCTATTTATTCTCCTCATGCTCGTCATGATTTTATAAACCTTCATAAGGTCAACTCTCAGCCTCTGACACTCCAGGAAAAGTAAACCCAGCCTATCCAGCCTCTCTCTGTAGCTCAAACCCTCCGACATCCTCGTAAATCTTTTCTGAATCCTTTCAAGTTTCACAACAGCCTTCCTATAGCAGGGAGACCAGAATTGCTCTCAATACTTCAATAGTGGCCAAACCAATGTCCTGTACAACCACAATATGACCTCCCAACTCCTATACTCAATGCATTGACCAATTTCAACGTTCAAATTCTCCAATGGGCAGAAGTATTACACCTTACATCACCAAAAAAAATCAATTTCACAACTATTGGATGTCTCAAAGCACTTTTATTTTGAATATTTCTTCAAGGGAAGTGGTCATCACTGGCTCGGTCAGCATTTATGTCCTTGTTAGAACTGTAAAATCCCTACAGTGCAGGAAGAGGTCAGTCAGCCCATCAAGTCTGCACTGACCCTCCGAAGAGCACTCCACACAGACTATCCCTGTAACCCTGCAATTTCTAGTGCAGCCAATCCACCTAATCTGCACATCTTTGGACTGTGAGACGAAATTGACCATCCAGCGGAAACCCTCACAGACATGGGGAGAACATGCAAACTCCACACAGACAATCGCCTGAAGCTGAAATTGAACCCAGGTCTCTGGTGGTATGAGGAAACAGTGCTAACTACTGAGCCACCGTGCCAGCCTTTGCAGTTGCCCTTGAGAAGATGGTGGTGCACTGCCTTCTTGTCCATGCGGCATAGGTAGAGGCACAGTGCCTTAAGTGGGAATTCCAGGATTTTAACCTCTGTGCATCTGATGCCTCTGTCCTTCTGGATGGTAGAGCTCACAGGTTTAGAAGATGCTGTTGGAGAATCCTTGGTCAGTTACTGTAATGCACTTTGTACGGCCAATTAAATACTTTTTGAGTGTGGCCACTGTTGCAATATAGGCAATGTGGCAACAAATTTGCACATAGCAAACATGACAAACAGAATTGTCATGAAGATCTGGCAGTCTGTCTGTTTTTGTCTGAGGGACAAAAATTGGTCCATCCTTTGGGGATAACTCCCCTGCTCTTGTGCCATGTGGTGTCTTACATCCAGTCAAGCAGACAGATGGGGGCCTTTGTTAAACACCTCATCCAAAAGATGAGATAGCACGGCACTCCCTTAGGTGAGCACTCGGTTTTTGTATTTCAGTCTTGGAATGGGCTTGAACTGAGAAGCTGAGAAATCCTGAGGCAGGTGTGTAACTCAATGAGCCACAGCTAACAGTCTCTTATTTAACATTGCCTTCCCACCCTTTGGGAATAGGCTTAAGCCCCGATAGATAGAGTAAGTGGAAAATAGACAATCAGGGATTCCATAAAGATATAATAGATGGAGTCCCTTCCCAAAATATGAAACTGGAAGATATTAAGAAGTTCCAATGTGATTCACAGCCAGCTGAAGGCAAGGTTAGGTTTGGTTTCTTTCACAAGGCCAAACATGGGCACTCAGTGTCAAGTATTACATCTGAAGTCAAGTAACTGCGGAGACTTTTATCCTCAGAATAGATTCCCATGGTGATTGTCTCTCCAAAGCTGATATACAACTTAGAATTTAGTATTCTTTGAATGTTTTTACTACTCAATTCTATGTTAATGTCACAGGCCTCTAAAATTTGAATTTGCTGTAATGTCGAAACTTGAACTGGGTTTTGCACAGCAGCTTTCTTTTTCCCTCTTGTTGGTTCCCTCACCACCTGCTGAAGGCCCAATCTAGCAGCTATGCCCTTTAGGATCTGACCAGCTCGATCAGTAGTGTTGTTGCTGAGCCACTCTCGCTGGTCCACATTGAAATCCCCCATCCAGAGTATCTTCTGCACCCTTGCCACCCTCAGTGCTTCCTTCAAGTGCTGATTCAACAGCTGAGGGTGGAAGGTACATGGTAACTGGGGAGGCAATGGCCCAGTTGTATTATTGCCGAACTGTTAAGCCAGAGACCAAAATAACATTCTGGGTTCGAGTCCCCCCATGGCAGATGGTAGAATTTGAATTCAGTAAATATCTGGAATTAAGAATCTAGTGATTGCCATGAATTGGTTGCTGATTGTTGGAAAAACCCATCTGGTTCACTAATGCCCTTTAGGGAAGGAAACTGCCATCCTTACCTGGTCTGGCGTACATGTGACTCCAGACACACAGCAATGTAGTTGACTCTCAGTTTCTCTCTGGGCAATTAGGGATGGGAAATAAATGCTGCCTAAAAGCAATGCCCTCATCCCGTGAATGAATTTAAAAAATCACTCGGAGGTTTCCTTGCTAACATGTGACCTGATGCCATGTAGACTTCATGGCGTCCACAGTCTGTTGAGGAATCCCAGGGCAACTCTCTTATGACTATATAAAACTTTCCCATCACCTCTGCTGGGTCCATCCTGCCTGTGGGACAGTGATAGTGTCCAGTTACTGACACAATAGGTGCTGCAGCATAGCCATATTCAAGCTATTGAACACTCCGCACTATGAGAAATACATCTGTGCAGTGAAATTGCACTCTGGAACTTGCCTTTGCTGCAGCGACAGAAATACAAGTTCTGGCCTTGATCAGCAAAGCAGCTGTTAATTGCTTGAAATTCTGATCAGTAACAAATTGACTTATATCGCAAATGACACACAAGTTAGAGGTGTGTTGGGGGGTGGGTGATGAACGCAGAAAAGTCATGGAGAAAGTGATTCTAATTGTTGTTTGATAACAGCACCCATTGTGAGAGCAGGAGCACTAAACTTTATTGTCGATTTTTGTTTGGCAATGATTGTACCATACCTCTGGACTAGAAGGTCTGCATCAAATCCTACTTACCATGCAGATGTGTCATGAAAAGGTTGATAAAAAGGAAAAACTCATATTTATGAAGGAAAGATTTGCATATATTTAACTCCTGCCAGAAACTTGGGGAGATAGTGGTGCAGTGGTAATGACACTGTGCTAGTATTCCAAAGGCTCAGGTTAATGATGTACAGGGACAGCTACCATGGCAACTGTGAAATTTAAATTCAATGAATACTTTTGGAATTGAAAGCTATTCTTAGTGATAGCGATCATGAAGCTGTCATTAATTGTTATAAAATCCTATCTAACTTCCCTTTGGGGAAGGAAATCTGCTGCCTTTACCTGGCCTGACCTATGTGTGACTCCAGATTCTCAGTACTGTGACTGACTCTTAACCATGCTCTGAAATGACTGAGCAGGCCACTGAGCTCAGGGGCAACAAATGCTGACCTTTTCAGTTATGTCTAGCTAATCTCCCATTTTTTGAAAAAAAGCATTCTGAAGTGGTGGAGGCTGAGGGGAGACTTGATAGCAGTCTATAAAATTATGAGATACATAAATAAGGCTGACAGTCAGAACCTTCTTCCCAGAGTTGAAATGCCCAATTCTCGGGGGCATCATTTAAGGTGGGAAAAGTTCAAAGGAGATGCGAGGGGCAAGTTTTGTACACAGAGTGTGGTAGGTGTTTGGAACACACTACCACGGGTGGTGGTCGAAACAGATAGGATAGGGGCATTTAAGGGGCTTTTAGGTAAACACATAAGCAGCAAGGAATGCAGGGATATGGACCAAGGGCAAGCAAAGGGATTATTTTAATTTGGCGTCATGTTCAGCACAACATTGTTGTCTGAGGGGCCCTTTCCTGTGCTGTACTGTTCTATTCGATGTTCTATGTTCATCATCTTCCAAAACCCTTTACAGCCAATGTCGTGCTCTTGAAGACTAGATTCTGCTGCATTTTAGAAATCTAGCAGCCGAGTTTGAAGACTCAAAAACTCAGAAGCAGCCAGGGAACACACAAGTGAGCTGCCTTGAATGATAAATGTTTGAGAGAAAATATTGGCCAGAACCTGGAGGTGAACTCTCCTCCTTTTCTTTCAAATGGTGGCATGAAATCTTTATGATAACTGAGATGGCTTCAGTTTAAGATAACAAGCTGCAGAGCTGGATGAACACAGCAGGCCAAGCAGCATCAGAGGAGCAGGATGGCTGACGTTTCGGGCCT